GGGTGCCGTACTATCTTGGGGACCCAGAATCCTGATTTAGAGAACCCTACACCCTACACCCGAAACCCTAAAACCCTAAACCCTCAACCCTAAACCCTAAACCCTCAACCCTAAAGCCCAAAACCCAAGCGAATCTGCTGGAGGCTGCACTCAGCCGCGCGCACACGCGGATTGGACCCGAGGAGTTCAGCACCACGAGGCACCTTGGCAGGGCCGCAGGGGTTTAGGGTTGAGGGGTGTGGTAGACATGGAGGCTTTACCTATAATCTTTTTGTGAGTTATAAGGCCTGTTTTTTTTTTTTGGCCCTTGTAGGGTTTTTTTAGTGAGTTATAACCTACTTCTAGTATGCAGCCTTTAGCTACTTCAGCTCCCTGTATTAATGTTCCGTCATTATGCCGAGTAAGACAGTAAGACCTTTGGTCGGAAAGCATCAAAGAGACAGGGAACACCAGCTCATGCAAGTCTGTTAAGCTGGTCAGCTTGTCATGACTGCTCTTTCCTGCTCAAGCTCGCATGCTGCTGAACCTTGCACTGTCTACCTCAAACCCAGAGCACTTTATCCTCAAGTTCCCGAACCCTTCACCTGAAACCCTGAAAATTGATTGTGCTGAACAATCACGTAACAGCACTCAGAAGCAACGTGCAAGACGGCAAAACCTTTGAATACACCCATTTTCAAACCCTTTGAACCTGTGTAGGAATACATTATGAAACAGACATTATGAAACAGAGCTGTATAGAAGCCTGCAAAGACCTTTTTAAACCCGCATGTATGTATGTACGTATGGATGGATGTATGTATGGATGGATGGATGTATATATCTATGTATCGACCCGACCCGCTGTCCCCCCGAGGGTTCTCAGCAGCCTCGAGGCCCCATGTGGGCGTGATCAAGTTCCGGGATCGCGTGGAGATTCGCCTCTGCGACCTGCCAGGTGCGGGGCTGAGGGCTCTAGGAGTCCGGGGCTGAGGAGGAGTCCGGGGTTGAGGGCTCTGGGGGTTGAGGGTTTATAGTTTATAGGGCTTCTGTCCAGGTGAGGGCTTCTGGGGTTCTAGGAGTTCGGGGTTGAGGGTTTATAGTTTATAGGGCTTCTGCTAAGTTAAGGCTTCGCTTCAGGGGTTACTATGTAAGGGTTCTCTTTGGGCTTCAGGGGGGTTTAGTGCGATTTAGGGGTTTAGGCTTTCTCGGAGGTGTCGCAGTTTGTTGGAGTGTTGAAATTTTTATGGGATACCGTTCATGTCACAGGTCGTGTTCTAGAGGCCGCTGACCCCGCAGTCTTGACCGCATGGCACAGATGTGTTGAAGGTTGAGATAGGGGCCTGAATAACTGCCTATAATTATTCCGAGGGTTCCTTATTATTATTATTATTACTATTATTATTACTGTTATTATATATATATATATATATTACTTAGGAGCCCAGAGCCCCAGTCACTCCAATTCTAAAGGTCCCTACATTCTCCGTGTTCACCTTGTTCTGTTTCCTTGAAGTGCTTCGCACCCTTTGCTAGCTTTGATTCTTGACCATGGAGAGGCCTTTCGGAAGGAGCGCACGAGGACGGCACAGTGAGCTGGGAGTAGTTGATGCGAGCCAGGGTTACCAATCCGTAGAGCGAAAAAGTTCAAGATTCACCGGGTCTGGCAGCGGCGCTTTGTATCTCCTAGTTGGCTGCTAACTGATGATACCATAAAATCATAATATTAAGGCCCCTATAATTTAAGGCATATTCCTTAATCAAGGGGTATGGGGTTCTCTGGGTACTGACTGAGCAGCACATCTTAAGTCTTAAGCGTCAAGGGCAATATGCCCGCCTCACGCAATGGCCGCTATGGCACCTGTACCCTGCAGTTGTGCAAGGACAAAGAGATGGGGCGGCGGATTCTGAGGCGATGTGGTTGGGAACCGTCTTGGTGGGAGCTGCCAGGGGTCCTGTAGTTCTGGAGCAGTTCTGGTAAAAGCTCGGCAGTCAAAAACCCCCTATGCACTGAGACCCTAAAACGCACCGCAAATGATGTTCAGAGCGCGCCAGGGGCAGTCATGTGTAACTGATCTTGTCAAGCTTAACCCTAAACCCTAAAGTCCTAAAACCCTAAAGCCTTAAAGTCCTAAACCCTAAAACCCTAAATACCGTACATACCATTGAAGAGGCCGCACCCCAAGCCGCAATTTTCTCTTTTGAGGGCCCCGGAAGCCCCTACAGAGCCTGCCACAAACGGCACAAACTCGCACAACCCTATACTTGGAGGATCATGGGACTTGGTAAGTATGGTTAGGAGTACTTTAATTGGTTTTGCAGTAGGTATAAGTACGGCTACCCAAATAATAACCTCAGGCAACTAAGTCCCATGATCGTGGACGTAGACAAGATCCCTACAAAACTATCGGATTGATGCATCCCCAGGGCGGGGGAGTTTTCTCTGTCAGCTGGTCCCTAAACCCTGGAGATTCTGAAACCCTAAGCCCCAAAACCCTCCTAAACCCTCAACCCTAAATCCTGAACCCAAAACCCTAAAACCCTAAGCCCCAAAACCCTAAACGAGGACCGGCCATGCAGTTCGAGTTGGAGTTTCGGATTCCTCGTGACACCGAAAACGGGCCCCAAAGTTCGTCCCGGCATAAAGGGAACAGGGTTCCGAGAGCGACAAGGAAGTGAGTGATCATGTTCAGTTTGGTGATCGCCATCGTGGTAGTTGTAGTTAGTTGTCGTAGTTGTTGCTGTCGCGGTCGTCGAGATCGGTCGTTGTGGGTCGTCGTTTGTTCGTGGTCGTCGTGGTGCTTGTGGTGGTGGCGGCAGTGGTGGTGTATTTGTGGGTGGTCGTGGAACAGCATAATCCGCAGTTTGATGAACCAGACGGCCATAACGGTCAATAACGGTAAAAGGAGTCCACTGTCGCTAATCCTCAAGCTGACCCTAAACTCCTGACCCTAAACTCCTACCTGGACGCTAAAGAACCTACCTTTTTAGGGTTCCTTGTTTTGAATTCTTTCTATAAGTCCTTAAAACGGTAGGTTATTTGGGGTTAAGGTAGCTCCAGGACCCGATCGACCCGACAGCCGCAGGCACACTTACCGCTCTCGGGCTTTGGCATTTGTCGTCAACGTTGCCCGAGGACGCTTCTGCTCACGGCTTAGAACGCTGGGAGTTTGGGGGTCTAGTCAACACACTCTACGTCATATACTTGTTACTTGTAGTTTACTCTTCGGCGCAGGTTGATGCAAGCCCCAAAACCCCAAACCCATCCTTCAAAACAACGATGTTGCTAAACTTAGAGCACCCAGCCAGAAGCTCGAAACCGCAAGTCAACCCTGAAACCCTTGACCCTCATGTTTTCGAAATTTGTAGGACCTGATAGAGCCCTTACAAAGTTTGCAGAACCCGTAGTGTGCCTCTATTCATGAAGACAACAGCTCCTCCCCATCACGAAAAACCGAAGCCCTTGTACCATATAACTATATATTGCATACGGTATATACTATATTGTATTGTATTGCGTTGTATTGTATAGTATTGTATTGTACTGTATTGTATTGTATTGTAGAACAAATGCAATATTTATTTAAATACGAACATATATATATATATGTATATATATATATTATAATATAATATAATATAATAGAATGGAATACAGCCCTAAACCCAACTGTTAGCTTCAGGAGAATCCTCGGACCACGACGTCCTGGCCGAGGTAGAAATGCTGCGAGAGGCAGGGTGCTCTTCGGGGTGCCTGATCGTTTTGCTGCCATGCTTTTGGGGTTCACGGTTTAGGTTTAGGGTGTAGAATTCAGGGCTAAATTTCTGTTGTACCATGCTTTCGGGTTTAGGGTTTTTAGGCTTAGGGTGCAGAGTTCAGGGCTAAATTTCTATTGGACTTCCCCAAGAACAGGCGTTTAGGAACCCTAAACCTTGCGCCAAGGAAGCCATCCGCTTCGACCCTTTGAACGCGGAGAAGCCCTGGATGGTGATTGG